GGGAATCGCACCAATCACATGGTCTCTTCTTCCTCCATCACCACCGTCCCAATCGGCACCCTCACATCCTTATAAACACAAACATACGGAGCGTCGCACCCCGAATACTTCCCCGTCCACCTCCCCTCATCAATTTCGCTCGCATCCCAAACAGACGCGTAGAGAAACATCGGCTTCTCCGGCCACGGTTCCCCCTCCCTCCGCACCTCCCGCCTCACCATTTCCCCATCAACGAGCCACGCGATCTCCTCTGGTCCCCATCGGATCTCATAATCGTGGAAATCCTCCGACGCGTGGAAGCCGAGCGGATGGATCTGCTCCCGGCTGCCCACCCCGGCGGTGTAAACATTGGTTTGAACGGAGGTGTTATCCTTGCCGAGGAACTCGAAGTCGATCTCGTCTTGGTTCTTGTCGCCTTCGAGGGAGGAGAGGTAGATGTTGTAGTTGAGGCCGTCGGTGTTGCCGGAAGGGCAGCGGATGCGGGATGAGAAGGTGCCGTAGAGGAAGCGGGAAGGGGAGCGCCATCGGGCGCCGCGGCGGTGGTCGTAGGTGATGTGTATCTCGCCGGAATCGGGAGAGTGGAGGCAGGCGTCGGGAGTGTAGTCGATGGCGATTTGGTTGAGGGTTGTGGTGTGGTGGATCGGCGGGATCTCGGCCATTGATTAGATCGGCGGCGGAGTAGAGAGGAGAGAGAGAGCCTAGGGATGGGGAGTTGGGAAGAGGGGGGCTATTAAATGGGTGAGGGAAATGGTGTTTTTTAAAGGACGGGTCTGTGTTGAAGGAAAAATTATTAGCTGCGGGATCTTCAAATTGCACATTCAGATTATATTGTATTTTGATTATATTAGTTGTTTTTGGTTAATTTGGTTTTTTTTGATAGACAATTGGATTTCAAAATTTTTGTTTGTGATAATGAATTGTATCTTATGGGGAGTGTGCACCAAAAAAAATCAACATTCACGGGCCAAAATCTTGTCTCGTAGGTCTCATGAGTCTCGTCA